ACTTAAGTTCCATAATCAAAAGCATTTAAGTAATGATACTTTGTGCTGTAGGTACTTTATAGAGCTATTAACCAAGAAAAGAAATTATTATTATTTTTAAATGCAGCCTGATCCTTCAGAAAGAAGTGAAAGAAAGATGCTGCCATCATTTACAAGTACAATGCCAAGTACAAGAATCTTAATTAACTCTTGATCACAGTGCTGAACTGCTTTAAAAATCAAGTTACTACAGCCAGATCATTTGAATTAGAACTGTTACTGTAGTAAAAGGTGAGCAGTTCAATTAGTTCTTCAAAGATAAAAACTGTCACAATGAAGTTTGTCCAATATGAAAGGTCTGAAACATATCTGGGGGTGCCAAGGCCATTCCAGCAAGAAACCCTTTGTTGCTCTGTGGCCTGAACACTCTGCAGAAGTGTCGTGGTGCCCTGCCATGCCCCAAAGAGCAGCAGTCCCTGCACACCACAAAGCACTTCATACAGTCCCAGGGAAACTCTCGGAGACACCTTGCAAAGGGCACAGATGGTGCCACTTAAAGAACGGATTTATTGCATATAAGAAAATGGTCACAGAGATCAGGTATCTGAGCTACTGCTTGAACTGTCACTAATCCTTTGCAAGACACTATAAATGGATGCACTGAAAGTTTCTTAGAGCTTTCTGTAACTTGAGAATCAACACTTCATATGAGACAGAATAACAGTACTTGGTAAATAACCAAACCAGCAACACAGCACATTCCAGCAGAAAAACAGCCAGGAGTCAGCTCTGATTGCCCACTGGTGTTTCCAAGTACCACACAAATACATTGCAGTGATGAGAAAGAACAAAGCAAACTTTCTTGTTTGCTCATTTGCTCAGTAGAAGGTACCTACTGAGTCCCCAAAATGCATCTCTCAAAATGCATCTTCATTACCTACTGCAATTTTTTTATTTTTCTGTCATTCAACTTTATGAAACAAAAGGACAACTTGAAATGAGAACAGGAAAATGTACCTGAAAAATTAAGATACTTTGTTTATCCATAGAAAATTTACCACATTTTATGACAGAAGCTACCTTGTCACACTGTTATTTCACTTCAACTTAATTTTTGCCAGAATCTTCAGGGTCTCTTCCTTTACCTTGTTGTTTCCCCACAGTCACAGATTATTTAAACATCTGTCTTGGAAGAGGTGGCCTTTTCTTTTCAAAACCGGAAACATTAGTTTGCATCCTAAGCAATAGTGATCTAAAGTTTATAAAGAAGGTGGGGGCAGGGAAAGGAACTTAACCTTTCATAAGCACTCCCATTGGTTTTGAAAAATCTGGCAGCTGCCCAAAGGAAAAGATTGTCCCAATAATAGAGGCTGTGCTGCTGAAAAATGTCATTTCTAAAACTGTTGATCATTAGCAAAATACCATAGATCAGGATCTTTTTAACCAGAAGCACTAGAATAACTTGAGAGGGTGACTAAAGCCAGTGAACAGTATTCCCCATAATTACTGAAAAATGAAACTAATTTCTTTTCACCCTGAACAGCTTTCACCTCTTGCCAGAGGCATTAATGTAGAATAGGGATGTTAATGATGAGGATAGTGGGAACAAGAAGTGTTTTAAGATTTAAAGGCTGACTTTTTAATGGTGTTCGTGTTGCAGCGTGGCGTACCATATAATTAATGCAACTCCTTTTTACCAATTCAAAAATGTGTACTTCCCTTCACAGAGCTGCAGTTCTGACACTGTTTAGAGCAACTCTTGGCCCTTTTGAATCCTCTCCTATCTCAGATCATTAACTGGCTTAGGTGAATTTTGAATCCTCTCTTATCTCAGATCATTAACTGGTTTAGGCGACACCACAATAATGCAACTTACTTTCATTTTATAAAGTCTTTAATTTTCAAATATAATATAGCTAGAACTGTAGGATGGTTTATGCTCTCAGCACCCCACCTGTTAAATAACAAGACTGACAAAGTATTCAGTAGAAATGGGCACAAGAAATCTTTCTCCAAGCATTGCCCACATTTCTTGTGCTGCTTTTACAATTGCAATCACCCTCATTCCAACTTTAAGAAAACTAGCTGGGGTATGAGCAACAAAACTGGAGCAGATCAAGGCACTATCACAGAATGACAAATTGTGGAACATTCTTGGGCTGCTCACACTGAAAGCCAGGCAGGTACATGCTCAGAGGTCCCTGTAACCTGCAGTAGCTGCATGAAAGTTATCAAGGAATGCCCATCCCTGTCACACTTTTCCTGCAGTTCACAAACATTCAGAGATGCATAAAGACTGACAGGTTTGCTGTTACTCTGTTGAAATTCAATTGATTTGAATCACAGCAAGCCTAACACTCTCCCAAGTTTTCTTGGGGGGGAGGAAAAAAAAAGGGGAAAAAAACCACGAAAACACCAGCACATGCCTCATCTGAAAGACCCAATTTTCAAAACTGCCTATTTTTCCTCAATTACTTTAAAGCCAGGTTTGAGCCAAATCTCATTTTTTGTTTAGGGTGAGCAGGAAAAGCATGCAAATGTTTCTCTAAGCATTGCCCACATTTCTTGCTGCTTTTACAATTGCAATCACCCTCATTCCAACTTTAAGAAAACTAGCTGGGGTATGAGCAACAAAACTGGAGCAGATCAAGGCACTATCACAGAATGACAAATTGTGGAACATTCTTGGGCTGCTCACACTGAAAGCCAGGCAGGTACATGCTCAGAGGTCCCTGTAACCTGCAGTAGCTGCATGAAAGTTATCAAGGAATGCCCATCCCTGTCACACTTTTCCTGCAGTTCACAAACATTCAGAGATGCATAAAGACTGACAGGTTTGCTGTTACTCTGTTGAAATTCAATTGATTTGAATCACAGCAAGCCTAACACTCTCCCAAGTTTTCTTGGGGGGGAGGAAAAAAAAAGGGGAAAAAAACCACGAAAACACCAGCACATGCCTCATCTGAAAGACCCAATTTTCAAAACTGCCTATTTTTCCTCAATTACTTTAAAGCCAGGTTTGAGCCAAATCTCATTTTTTGTTTAGGGTGAGCAGGAAAAGCATACTAACAACTTCTTCACAGCTATATTCCACAGGCAAATTTAAATTAATGACCAGCCAGGCTGTCTTCACCCTTTGACCCTCAATTATTCCCTTTACTCCAGTTCTCTGAAAGTTCAGGAGAGCCTAAATAGCAATTGAAAATTTTAATCTTTTGTGGCTTTTAATCAAAGAACTAATACTCTTGCACAGCTTTAAAATTCACACATCTATGACTACATTATTTCAAAAGACAAAAGTATTCTTTGTTAAGGATTACAGCCTTGCCACTATCTGCTGCCCTGATCTCACATATTCACTGTAGACTTTAGTCTTTAAAATACAGGAATGTTTTCATGCACTGTTTTAATGTTGACCTGTCTATAGAAATAGCCTGAACATGACTTCATGACATTTGATGATAGGAGAGAAAAAACCCAAAAAATAAACCCACCACATTCTTATAATGTTGTAAAACACCAGCACCAAATCCCTAAACATCTAGTACCGAGCAAGGCCAATGGGGCAAGCTTTCTATCAGTCACCTAGAAGCTTCCCCTTTGCATGGACTTTTTCTCAGTCACTTAAATCAAAGGAACCTACAAATGTCTATTCTGTATTTTCTGTAAGTGATAACATTTCCATGAATAGCACAAATTGACGGGGAAGGTGCCTTCTCTAATTACTCACTGTGAAAGCAGAGAGTCCAAACTGGAATTCACGATCAGCTTAAATAATAATCAGTCTAATGACTAGGTTGGCAACAGACAGAAGATTGAAGGAACAAGATGACTTGCTGCAGGGTTATCATGGGGGAAGTTGTTGCTTATGAGCCAGGAGCTGTTGAAAAATCTCCTCTGAGAGTTTGAAGAGACTTGCAGTGGAAGACCACAGAGATCCAGCACCAATTGAAAGAGTTATAAATAATTTTGTACCAATGCACTTTCCATACACGAGTAGCCAGAGGATGCAGCATCCCCAAAGAGACCAGACAAATTCACAAAGATCACCCCCATGGAAGAGGAGACTGCAAGCATTTTTAATGTACTGCAGCAGCATGAAAGATAAGGACTGTAGAATTAAAATCTACATTGTGAAGGTGTCACCTTTATGATTTGTACAAATATTAAATTGTGAAGTCTACAAATAGAGCAAAAAGAATGAGTGATTGCTTTCAAATAGATAAACAAGCAGAGGCTTACATGGGGTAAAACCAATTGGTTTCTGCTTCATGATGATCCATGGCTATAAAGACACATACAGAGCTGTTTTCACAGCCATGACAATACCTAACACTGATAATGTCCATGGCATGGAGAAACCCTCCCCACCTTTGCCCCAAAACACATTTGCTCTTTGCCTATGAATTCTTGTAAAAGATGAAGTTTTCTTTGCCATTTCTGGCAATGGGTTTTACTGTACACACATATTAAGATTTTCAGTTAACAAAAGATGGCACAGCTAAGAATCAGTGATGTTTATCTTCAAAAGGCTCCTGATGCAGTAGAGACAGAATTCAGTACATTTAAGGAGCACTGAAAAGGCTGTGGAAGCACTGCTGATCTTTGCATACATATACATCCAGTGTAGAGGGAACGTGGGGACAGTGTTCAGCAGTGGTCTTCCTCATCACTCACTCTAAAATGGACAAGGAATAAGGGAGGAAAAAAAGAGGCGGCAGCAGCTCATTTATTTCATTTGTATGGTATGAATTTTTAATCCTTCTCTGACTTTGTCTCTGTATTAGCTAGCTAACCTGACCAGAACCTCTCAAAAACACAGGCTTGAATCCTGCTCCATTCCATCTTACTCACTTTTCACCAGTACAAACTACATTGAAAAGCCCAGGACTTCTTGTGCTGAAGTCAAACTTCATCTAGCTATTCTTCTCTGACAGCTCCAAACCACAAAAAGTAGTGATGATATATTTAGGCTGTTGTCCAAAAATACCAGAAATGTCTGCTTCTTTTAAATTGCTTACCTCATGTTATGGTTTGAGCAAGCCCACATCAAGCCACCGCAGAACCACTTAGCATTCTCCAGCCATGAAACCAGTCCTACTGCAAAAGAACAGGGGGAACCTTCTCTCTGCATGGTATAACAAATGAGAACAACAGAAACCTTGTCATTTCCACCTCAGAACGGAAGTGAGATGAAGACATGGCTGACTGCAGAGCTTCAGGAAAGGTAATTTAAAAACTGGTCCTCTCCCAGGCTTAGGCCAGAAGTAGAATCTGAGCAGAGGGGGGGTAGATGAGGGGTGAGGGCACAAAAGTTCTCTTTAGAGAGCTGTCACACTTAGGAATTCTCAACATATATGGCAGGCAACCATTTTGGAAAGGTCCTTTAATAAAAACACTAAAATACCACAATTTCCAAATAATTGTAAGCCCTGTGTATTTTCTGAATTCATTTGTACAACTAGCTCACAACTGAGCAAAGCCCAGCAGCTCCCCGAGCCCATCAGTTCCTTGGGTAGATGGGGCTTAAGGGCAGGTACCATAGCACAGCTGGAGCTCAGCGAGGGGCTGGAGGAGACATTTATTCCTCCTGACACTGTAACTTACTGTGTCGGTCACGATGTTATCTGGGTCACCGCTACAAGTTTATGTGGCATGAGCAGCAGCCCTGCTGGCAGGCTTCTCCTCGGAGCCTACAGCGAGGCAGCGCTAGCTTCCAGCCCTGATCACTGCAAAACTTAGATTACAATATCTAATCCAGGTGAAACTGCAGTTCCAGAAGAGAGAGGGAAAACTGTCATGGGAAAGAAAAGGGAAAACTGAAACTTCAGTTCCAGAAGAGAATTATCAGCAAACAGTAGCATCATTAAACTGCATTCTGGCTGTCAGACATCCAGCGCGAGCATTGTGCCGCAGCTGGCAGCCCATCTTTGAGGATAAACTTACTCCACGTACTTGTTTGTTTTCCCGTCCCTCAGTTGGCCTCACAAGCCGCCGTGAGGAGGGCCGGCCCGCGGGGCCGCGGAGCTGCGGCGCGGTTCCCATGGCAGCGCCGGGCCCCGCGGCCGAGCCCGGTGTGCGCGCCGCGCCGGCCCAGCGAGCGTGCCTTCTCGGGGCTGCGCGGCTGCCGCTGCTCCTTCCTTCCTTCCTTCCTCCGGAGCCTCGCCTCACACCGCCGCCATTGTCCTTGCCTTTCCCCACGTTCCCGCTGCCGCTAATTAGGCTGCCGCTTACGGAACCGACGATACTTGAGCTTACCTAATTAAGCAGGCGCACAGCAGAAGGGGGACTGTCCCCGCAGAAGCCAGGCATGACACTAGAAAAATCTCACGTCTCACGGCTTTTTACAGCATTTTTTTCTTTTTTTCCCCTGTAGGAAAGTTTAGGAATTAGGTGCACTCAGAATAGGAAACCCAAATGATCTGATCCGAAAGTTATGCTTCAGGTGTTAGGATTTTTATTTCTTTTCATTTAATTGAATTAATTACATTTGGGGGTTTGTTTCAGTCAAAAAGGAAGCTATTTACAAGACCCCATACAGTATGACTTGAGAAAAGTCCCAGAGTTGCTTATCAGGTGATTACAAACATACCTGTACAAACAAGCAACAGCCATCAAAAATTCACCTGATGACCTTCACCTTCCCTGCTTCCCCCAGGAGGAAAAAATTGTAATGAGTGAAAAACATTCCTTCAAGTACAAAATGCCCAACACTTGGGAAAGGAAATAAACAGGTATTTGCAAAAGTGGTCTCCTGCCCTGCTCTGTAGGATGACATTAAAACAGGAGTACAGGCTCAGTGTCCAAATCTAGTTGTGATTAACACAGGATTCAGAGACAGAGAGAAGGAATTTAGTTACGAGGAAAATTGGCTGCTCTTTCATCTGAGCCTTTCTTCTGTTCTTATGTTCTATCTGAAAAATATTTTACCTTAGAAGGGGAAGGAAAAAAAAAAAAAGACAAATTTTATGTCATTGCCTTTTCTTTCCTATGACAAGCTGTCACTTCTAGATATGGAAACCATATCACTATGTTGCTGGAGAGAATAAGTGGGGCACGATTTCTCCTTTCCTTTGATATGAACAAAGATTAAAGTAATAAAAAACTAAGAAGATGAGAGTGAAGGAAAAGCAGAATTTTTTAGCAGAGCTGATGTTATTTTAGTATGACATTCTATGAAGCAACAGTGGCATCCAGTGGTAAATTTCCATAACCAAGTTCATATCCTACTTTCACTAAGTTTTGGCTTACGTCTTTTTTTTTTTTTTTTTTTTTTTTTTTTTTTTTTTTTTTTTTTTTTTTGGCAACAGGTTCTCAAAGAACTTTTCCCCTCCTCTTCCTACTTACACCACCAAAACACCTACCATGCACCCAGTCCTCAGTATCAGTAATAGAGACGAAGCTACCAATTTTCTCAAAGGCTGTACATCACACCTGCATAGTCAGAAGTTCCAGTCATTACTCAGAAGCTGCAACATGGATACAAACACATTTTTAAATCATTCTCAGAAAATAAAGGGCATTTTTTTCCTGGTGCCCACAAGAGTGCAGCAAATATAATTCTGTACTGTCCCTTCCTCAGTCCCCCTTCCCATTTTGTTTTTCTGCTAGGCAATATGATCATTCTTTTCTCATTTACTGACATTAAGATTATTCTCACTTTATGATATCTCCTAAGTAGATGCCCTGGGCAAAAATGAAGGGCTTATAATTATAAGAGTATACTACAGAAGAAAGTCCATTCAGTGAATTTATTATGGTATTTTCAGGCTGAAAACACATTAGCAGTTAAGAAAGCACCTTGTGCTAGCACAAGCTCAGTATCATTGTCAGTTTTAATTTGGTAAGAAGGACAATTGTCTCCTCACCAACACAGAGCTGAGAACTAAAACTTGTCAGTCTGGCTCTCAGCTCAATCAAATTTCTAGTCTGATTTTTTTTTTTTTTGTATATGTCTAGAGATCTTTTAAAAGAATTTATCTCAACATCACTAAAAATAATGGTTTTCACTTAAATTTCCAAGAGAGTTAAACTACATTGTCTTCTCCCTTTTAATAGGACAATTTATCTGCAGACCCCAAATCAACCTTCAGAAAGCTATTGACTTATACAATGAGATTCTCAGAAGGAAAGGATTAGGTTTGTTTCCCTCCCAACATGATAAAACATTTCATGAAGAAAATGAAGCTTGGCCTGCATCCAGTCTTCATATGACAATATGACAGTAAGAGAGTTAATTGGTTTTTAATTGGTGTGGTTCCACAAGTATGAGAGTGCCTACTCAACCTGTCCCAGGGAACACAGACAGGAAAGGATAATTACTGCCACCCTGCTGAGGAGGAGGAGGTAGCTTAGGAAGAAAGTGTTTGACACTGAACTGACTGCACTAAAGTGTACCAGCAAACTCTCTGCCACAGGCCTTCTACTCCAACCCATCTGGATTATCCAAACCCCTGCCACCAGAGCACGATTCACTCTTTGGAGTAAACAATGTATTTTATTCATCATGGTACCAAAATACCCGAGTTCATGAATATTATTCATTTGTGATTCTAACTGTGAGGTGACCTGAGAAACAGGTTACTCACACATGCTGCTGTTAAATGCCCTGATGTGGCTGACAGGAAACCAGCCACCTGAGATGGGCCTACCCCACTGCAGTCTAGCATTGAATGCTGCATTTGTGGGTTTAGCTATTTGTTAGCTTGTTTCCCTCCTTGAACTGGCCAGTTCCCAAAAAGCATTCTTTTTGTGGGAGCAGGCAAAAACTTGCAGATGGAGTCTGCCCCCAAAGCAGGAAAAGGATTCAGAACTCTTATAATATATTGTTCTAGCAAGTGAGATATTAACATTAAAAATAGAAGAAAAATGCATAAAGAACAAAAGAAGCTCAAGACTTATGGCCTTCTGATGAAGGGGGAAATCCCATATGATTGGAGCAGGCAGCTATGCACAGGAGATGAGCCTGAACTACAAAGCAGAACCACGACTGAACTTGTGCTATGCTTGGGATAAAGCAATCTTTCAGTAGCAAAGTTGTAACAGAAAAATCTCAAGACTGACATGGAATGATCAATATCCTATGGAATGAAACCTCTGAAGAATCAGGTATTTTAAAGCAGAACTGAAAGATTAAGATGAATTTTCTTTTTTTTTTTCTCCTGGGCCTTTGAGCTGAGCTAGGAAGTTCCTGAACATCCTTAATACACAGAGCTCCCAATGAATTGCAGACTCTTTTTCCACAACATACTTTGGAAATAACAAAGCAAAATCTCTGCAGCTCTGAGCCCACCCAGACTTTATGCAATTTCTAACTCTAGCAATGTGAGACCAAGCAAAGGGTAGCTCCAGTTTGCCCCCCTTCTCCTGCAGAGTTCCTCCCTTCCTCTCCTCCCTCCTGCAGTAGGTGGCTATTCCCACACTCTGCAGAGGAGCCTGCCCACCACCAGCAGCTCTGAGGGAGCAGAACAGCAGAACCCAAACTGGGGCTCCAGTGCTGGGCTCCAGCTGCACCTCCAAGCCAGGGTCAGACCAGAACCTCCCAGAACAGCAGCATCTAATGATCCTGGTAATCTGGGACTTGCACCTGGAAGCAGTGTTACAGAAGACTCAATAAAGAACTCAAGTCAAAAACCTGCTAGGATCATTATAGTGACTTAGAGGACATTTTTCTGAAAAAACACTTGGATACCCAAAGGTAGCTAAACCTGTACCATATTAATTTACTTTCAGTGTAGATTAAGAATTTGGGGGAGGAACCTAACAAAATAAGCTTTCTTTGGTACCTTAGAAGAGATCACTACTCATTAAGAACATAATTATGTTGCCATGTATTCTGGTTTGGACAGTAAGAATTATGAGATCACAAAATATGTCATTCATCTGAATTTCATCTCCAGCAGTGGTTTCAAACATCATATAATGCATTTTTGTGCCAAATGCTCCCATTTATCACTAATGGATCTCTTGCTCCTGATACCATCTTTCCACCAGATGTCACACTTCCCCTTCACCTGATAACTCCAAACCTCTCAATATAACCCCGTACACAGATGTATTTGTTCTTTTGCTGACCATTTCCACACTCTATCCTTAATTAAATATTAGCCCTTCTATTTGGTTTGCAGTAGCAACACTGCATTAAACACCAAACCATATAACTTGTGCAGCTAAGTTCAGACCTCACCTATGTACTGGTGCTTATGCTATCATAAAGAGTAAAAAAATCTGCACTGTTCTATTATGCTCCAAACCCCACACATTTGTATACATCAACAGGTCATTTAAAATGACAAAAATTCCCTTCCTAATGCAGATTTTTAAACAGTATCATTCTTCAGAGTCTCATTTTTCAGGCCTCTCAACACTCTAGGTTAACTACAGGGAAAAAAATCCATTTGTATTGACCACATGCACGAAACAGAAGCATTATTTTCAAACCCAAATGCCTAAGTGCCAGCATTAAATAAGTGTTTTATGATACAATTTAACACATGAAAAAATGGGAGGCTCAAGTCAGTAATATTTTAAGTATAAGAGCAAAGTTTGGTCCAGCCCTGCCACCTTCTGAGATGGTTTGTTTTACTTTGCTATTTTTAACAGCTGTGTCAGAAGTAACCCATTACCATTAGCTGTCTTTTGAGTCTGCAGCCATCCTCCTGTTTGATAAATGCAGTGTTAATATATATTATTCTAGAAAATAATCTATGGAAAGCTACAATTTTGAAGATAGCATTACCTCAGCTTCAGAGGATGCTATCACATGCAATGCAATG